TTTGATATTTTAACTTGTAATAGTAATATAACTAAAATAATGCTGTTAATCTTAACCATTAATTCCATTTTATTTTTTTCAAAAACATTTTTATGACTTTTCCAAAGATGGCGGTTTCTTTATATTAATTTATACCGAAAATACAATAATATTTTCTAAAAGCTGAAGAAATATTTATACACTGGTTAAGTTATAATTTATTGATAATGTCAATTGTTTTAAATTTTTGAGGAAATTTTTAATATGGATGATGATATGAATGAATATCACTGATTAGAATGAAGAAAGAAAATAGTGGAAAAACTTCGAAGTCTGTACTGTCGACCAGAAAGGTGATGGCAAATGTTGTTTTGGATGGTTTCGCCTTATAGTTTATTAAATACCTCAAAAAAATTCGTACTATATGTAACATTCTAGATAAACTGAATACTGTAATTATTTAAAAATAAATATACAAATTTTCAAAGGAAAAAAATTTTGCGTTACTTTTTAAATTTATTAACTGTAATGCTTAATTATTAAATTTGATCATCAGTAATTATTTTCTTGCTTTCAGTTGCATAGAAAATATGTATGAAGCAGTAGCGAGGCGTCAGCTTTTTGGCAAGGTATTCACAATTTGATCAAAACAGAATTCCAACTATAACGTATTGCCCCTACTTCTGAGTTTTGTAATTTCCACAAGCAAATAGCATACAAGACCAACAAAACAATTTATTTAAATATTCACAGCTTGTGATCCACTGGTTTTTATGGTAAATAGCTGTAGGAATTTTTTACATCAGGTACCAAATTCTTCATATCTGGAGTTGGTCTATTCATTTTTTGAATTAAAATCTTTTTTTCAGAAGATCGTTTAAAAAAAGATATTTGAATCAAATCTTTAATCACACATTTATCCATTTCTAAATATTATTTTTCACTTCAAATTTTTTTTAATTTTTTTCTTTACTTTTACCATTTGCTAGTATAAAATTGCAATAATGACTTTGTTTTTGGTTTATTTCTAACCTCTACATAAGAGTAAGAAACTCATTTACTCTTTTACTTTGTATTTACTATGCGCGGTTCAATTTTTTTACTGAACCATTTGCCCATATAAAACGGCAACCGTGACTTTGATTGTATTTGCACGGTTTGTATGAACTTGGGGTTCAATTTGGTCGACTGAACCTCTAGTCAAATGTAAAGCGATTTTCGCCCAGTCATTTCTTTTCTCTTTTGTATTTACTTTGCATAACATTGGAGGTTCACATTTTTTATTGAACCGCTTACACGCATTAATTTAAGAGTTATGATTATTTTACGTACATATTTTGCGGGGCTTGTTTTCTCTTTTATTTTTATATTTGTTTGTATGTTTTGTGTTTATTCAATATTGAACATAATCCCAATATGAATGTTATTTTATTTGCATGCTTTGTAAGCAGCGCAATGCAGTTTTCATTCTGAACCTTAGCATATTTTAAGAGCAATGTGTTTTCTCTTTTATTAATTAAAAGTAATGTTGGGTGTGACTAACATATGTGAAATTTTGTTTGTATTCTACGTTTTGTGTTTATGTTAATCTGTTTGGAAAAGCTATTATAAAAAATGTTAAGTAGCAACATAGTGAGATTCTTTACCTAAAAAAAAGATCTAAAAATGAAGCTTTGTTAAGGTGTTCACTGAACACTCTGAACCATTCGACGCCTCGCCTCTGGTATGAAGAATATTGAAGTTCCGACAAATCTATGTATATAGATATGTTACTGGACAAGGTCTATATGCGCCTTTCTACTTAGCTCGTAGTAAATATTATTTATTGTTATTCACACTTGACAGATTGTAGTAAAATAATGGATTGCGAAAAAAAAAATTTATAGCATCAGAAACTATTTATAATTAAAACAAATTTTCTAATTTGACAGGCACGAGTTCTAAGCTTGGCAATTACAGTTCAAACAAATTATATACGGATTATAAACTAATTATGAAATTCGAATATTTCATAAGACTTACTGATAATGAGTACTTGGCAATACTCGAAACAATGTTGTATGGTCAGCCAAATTTCAATAAATTAAATAAATTTTTGTCCTTGTCTTTTCTTTGCTGTTCGAATCCGAAGCGTCACTCTCGGCAAGAAAAATTAACATTAAAACAAATTTTATTTAATTTTGTTTGCTTCTTTGGGCAAATTTTTTCTTTAATATTTTATATAATTTTAAAAATTACAGTTTTAATTATTACATTATTTTTGCTAAAGGTTATACGAGTTTTATATACAACAAAAATTTGTTTAAATACTTATTTTACTATAAACAATTGCAATTTAATGACTCTTTATTTACAAAATAAATAAAAAACTAAAACTAATTAATAAATCTAAAGAAAACAGTGATTATATATCAGCTATAACAGATATATATATATAAATTTTTATTAATTTAAAAGTAACAATTAAAATAAGTAATAGTATGAGTCCTACTTATGAACTTATATATACTTTATATCATTACAAAGATAAAATTAATAACTATTAATTTTAAAATAAATAAAAATTTTAAAAATTAAATAAATACTTTTCAGAAAACGATAATACTTTAGACTCAGAACACGTAAATTAGTGAAAATAAAAATAAGAAGTTTTTATGTAATTTTGAATTAAAAATATTTCAACATATAAATTTTATAAAATAAATAAATTTAAACGTAATGTATGAAATTACTTTTTTATTTAGTTAGTCAACAAAATGTTTGCATTTGCAAATTAAAACAAAAATATTTCATTCTATAACTAAATCAACAAAATGTTTGCAAAAATATCGACATATATTTTTCGTTTTTATTTAAAATAACCGTTTTTATATATATTTATAATTAATACATAATGAGAGATATTTTTTTATTGTGAAAATTTTAATATTTATTATATTTATTCATTGGAAAGAATTGGACTCACTCACTCTCGTGAGTAATAAGTAAAAATCGAATATTTTTATATTAATTTATACATTGTTTTTTATTGTATATATATGATATATAAAGTTTAGAAAAACGTTTGTAAACATTTATAATTTAATAAAAATAATTTTAATAGAAAAATACATATTTGTTAAAATAATTATTTTATTGTAAACAAATTTATTTTTTCATATAATGTTAGAACACAATTCTATAAAGTCAATTTTAAAAATATAATCAAAAGCAATTATGTGCATTCTTTGAACTACTCCTGATTATGTTTTATATTTTTAGCAGAATTGAAATTAAAAATTGTTCCCTTTTAAGAAATTTTATTTGTATTACTAGATTGGGAAACATTTGCTGTATTAACATTTTTTTGCTAGTTTTTATTTTGTTAATAACATTTTTAATATTCATTTATAACAATTTATAACAATGTTTCCGTGGAATTAAAGCAATTAAAGTGTTTTTTAAAATTTTTACGGAAAAATAATTTTCATTAATAAATTAATTTACTATTATTGAAAATATTTAACAATTTGTAAGCATTTGTTATAAAATTTGTGTTTTTAATTCAATGATCTCTAAATATATAACATTTAATTATTATTAGAAAAAGACAATAAAATAAATACTTTAATTTTGCATTTAAACTTTATAGGGCTGTTTCTATAGTAATAATGGTAATATTAATTAATTAATAAAAAAAATTTTCGTTGAAAAAAAATCAGAAAATACTTTCTACTTAAGTATTCAATAAAATTTACAATCACTATTTTTACCTTCTATGAATAAATCAATTTTCATTTTATTCATATCCATTGAATGCAAACCATTTGTGTAGGTGTTTTATATAAATATATTAAATCAGATTAATTTTATTACTCGATACTTATATTGCAACAACACTTATATTTTAAAGACTTTCTTGGTCAACTAAATTATATTATAATAATTAAAATACTATTTAATTTGTTTATTTATTTCAATTTAAAACTAATAAAACTATTTATTGTATTATTATTATTTTGTGTATTATTTTAATATATTTGATTGTATAAATTTATTATATCTATTGAATATTACGATTGCAACATTGTTTTGCTAAACTTTATATCTTTACATATTATTTTAAATGTAAAAATAAATAATTTCCTTTAATACCAAAAAATATGTATATATTTGATATTTTAAACATTTTGTTGACAAATTTTATTTTATATTTTTAAATAAATTAAAATATTTGTTAAGTTTCATATAATTTTATTTGAAGTCTATTTCTTACTTCTCTTTTTTTAAACAAAACCTGTATATGGACATATCTTACAAATTTATTAAATGGATGTATGCACTGGTCATATGATAGTCTATGATACCCTAAGAGTAGCATCAAATCTACGGTCTTAGCCTGGCGTGAAAATTTTTTGGTATAATGAAACAGTGATGTACTATAACTAGGTTGTACCCTACATACAGAATCAAAATTTGAAAATATTTCAATGAAAATAAGCTTTATTAGATAAAATAAGTATATTATAACCTCCCTTTCTCCAAGTTTTATAACATTTTCTAATTCAAATGTAATATTTCAAATAAACTCTATTCAAAATTATTATTTTTACGAACATCATATGTAGTTCCTTAATACGGATTTCTTTCCTTTCTATATGATTAAAAGAAACTTATTTTTATACATATAATTTGCTATAATTGTTTGCAACAAATTTTATATATTTCTTTTCCATTTATTTAATTCCATTTATTTATTTAATTAATTTATATTTTTTGTTATTGTTTTTAGTTTTTGTGTTTTGCTATGTTTTACTGATATTTTTATTTCTAAAAATGAATTAAAAATTGCTAACTAATCAATAAATTTAAATCACATTAATTTATTCAAGATATATGTTATCTATATAAATATATAATATTTTATTAACAAATTCTTATAAGTAAAGCTAATATAAAAACAATTTTAAAACTTTCTAGGCAAGCGTGCTTTAAAAAATAATAAAAATAAATAAAATATATCTTATATATGTACAGTCCATTTGAGTAGTATTTGTAATTTAGTAATTGTGTTATATGTCAAGCTTCATAAATACTCAGTTTTTTTATTTATTTAAGTTAATTTAAATTTAGTAAGTTTCGACCCTCCCGAAACGTTCATATAATAATTTCGCATCGTAAGCGATGTTTGTTTTTAATCTTAAATTTGACTCACATTTAACGTGTGTCTTACCCTTCCCTTTCTGGTTTGCTCGTCAATACGAGTAATTTAAGTAAGAAAATTATTTATATTTGTGTTTGCTTAATGTTATCATGTTACATTCTCCAATATCCAAGGTACAAATTTGGATATACGCGTACAGACGCCTGGCAAGTTAGCTTCGGCACAGCCAATACCCCACGATATGATACCCGCCAAAAAGAAACGACCATCTTGAGATTTGACCTAATTACAAATAATTAAATAAAATAAAGTGAAAAAAATCGGAATTCAGTATACTAACCTGTAGTGGACCACCTGAGTCACCTTGGCACGAGTCTTGACCACCGGTTTCATAGCCAGCACAAAGAAATATTTCTGGTATGAATTCCTGACGACCAGCGCGCAGGAACATCGTTTTGCAATTATCATTACTAACAATTGGCACAGAAACCTTATTGAAAAAAACGCATATGCATTAAAAACATGTTTCCATATGTGCATACATATTAGAAAATACTTGTATGTAGTTAATCATGCAATTACCTCTTGAAGCACAGATGGTAATGTACCACCTTCACTTAGTCGTCCCCAACCTGTTACCGTTGCATTCATGCCAATCAATAAGCTATCCGTTTGTGGTAAACAAATAGGACTAACATGTGGTGCAAATTCCAGTGGCTGCTCTAATTTAACCAAAGCTAAATCGTACTCGTAAGTAAAGAAATTGTATTTCGGATGTACAACTTTCTTGGATACGCCACGTTCAATGTAAGGCAACTGTTCCTGCACATGCGAAAAATCATACTCACCGACACGTATACGTATTTGTGATATCAGTAGACTGTGAAAGTTACAAAAAAGAACAAGAAAAAAAGAAAATATGCATTTAGCTTTTAAGCAAACTTACTAGTTGTACTAGCTTAGACTCCAATAAAAACAAGAAGTTTTAGAAATGTACTTCTGCATAAGAGTACAGAAGCATAAGCACGTATCTTTTTAAATAGTTCTAGTGATTCACATTTTTTACTTACTCATCTACACAATGACCTGCTGTTGCTATCCAATTTTCATTGATAAGCGCACCCCCGCAGCGATGCGTGCTCGAGAAACCGAAAAAGGAGGTACGACGTACAGAAACTTGCCATGGCCAACGGCCGAATGTTGCACTTTTACCGCCCACGATGCGTGTTTCCGGACGAGCGAGTACTGGTATGCCACATTCTGTGAAAATAATTTGATTTAGTGTACAGTAACTGATCATATATTTTAAGCGATCCAAACAAGAGTGAAATAGGCATAATAAGGAAATAAACAAATCAAACTTACCGCTACGCGCCGCTGAAATGGTTTTAATGGTAGCGGTACTTTCTGCAGTTGTATCTGCAATTTCATTCGATTCGATTGCGGTAAGATTTTGAACTGGCAAAGTGTGGCTTATAGTTGCAGCAAATGATTCTGCTGTCGGTTTCATTTTTATTGTAGTTGCTGATGTTGCTGTTGCTGTTGCCGATGAAGATGATATTGATGTTGTCGATGATGATGATGCTAGTGCTGTTGCAGTTGCTGTTGATGAAGATGAAGATGAAGATGGCAATGCAAGTGAGGATGTTGATGACGATGATGCAATGGTTGATGTGCCAGCACCCATGGTTGTTGAAGTAAAGGTACTTGAGATTGGACGACGCGTGGGTGTTGTATATAGCTGAGTTGTTGAAGATGGCCTTTGGGTAGCTTTTTGAGGCGTATTTGCTGATACTGTTGACATTTGAGTTGTTATTGGTTGGTATTTTTGTGTTGTTGATGATATAGCGGCATTTGTTGTACTTGAGGATGAAATCGTTTGAATGCTATTGCTAGTGCTACTGGAAAAACTTTCGCTGCTACTGTTTACTGTAGGACGACTGTGGGTTTGTGTTATATATGTTGGCTGTGTTTGTTGTGTGTGCTGAAAATTTTATAATATGATTATTTAAATTAATTACGAACTTAATTTATACAAGTTCTTTAAGATAAATTTTTATGGTCGTAAGACAGAGAAATAATTTTTCATTTTAATGTACTGCACTTTGCTTGTGGTCAGTCAATATGCAGTTTTTAGCTTTGCGTTGTAAAACACTGAACTTGAAGCTAGCACAGCTTAGTTGGTACCACACCCAAGACAGCTAAATCTTTCATCAGGTATTTTTGAACAATAAAATGTCCCTCAAGGCTGTGTTTTCATTATACTAGCAAAGTGCACTAAGCCATACGAGTAAATGACCTCACGTTCTGCTATATTCCTTCTTGCATATGCTTTTTATAATTCCATACACATGTATGTAAATGTGCAGTGCTTATGTTAATATATAAATCTTCATACCTGTGGTCGTGTAGTATAAACAATTGACGAAGGAGGTGTTTGTTGCAACATAGGCTGTTCTGGCGCAATAATCGGTTTCTTTGTTGGTTTTGATGGTTTTGGTCGCAGCGGTGTTGGTTTCTCCCAGTTGGGGGGTCGTGGTTTCGTTATAAAATTGGGTTCAGTCGTCATATGCCAATGGTGTTGCATTGTTGTTGATGTTCCTAAGTGTTGTGGTAAAGTATTCCAAGTATCTAGAAATTGAAGGACAAAGTCATAAATTACATTAAGACTGAAAAGTTTTCGGAAATTCTCATTTAAAATTCGCGCGCTGTATATTTTTCGATATTTTAAGTTTATGTAGTTTGGCAGCACTGTCCTTAATTACTATGCCAAAAATGAGCGCGATCTGTCAGACAGTTCGTTTACGGCAGCTGTTGAAACCAGTTCACCTCAGTAGTGCGTTGCGAAATGTCTTCGAACGGTCGTACGACCGTCCGAAAGGCTTTGTACCACTCATAAACTTGAGTTTTGATAAAACTGATTCCCATAAGCCTTTTGTAGCATTCGCAACGATTCTGCACACGAAATTTCGTTCGAAACACAAATTTGATGCAACCTCTTTGTTCAATATTTTTTTCCATTGTTTTTTTCGCAACGCACTACTGAGGTGAACTGGTTTCAACAGCTGCCGTAAACGAACTGTCTGACAGATCGCGGTCATTTTTGGCATAGTAATTGTCCTTAATTGCTGCCAAACTACATAAACTTAAAATATCGAAAAATATACAGCGCGCGAATTTTAAATGAGAATTTCCGAAAACTTTTCGGTCTTAATGTATATATTACTCATGTCATATGTACGCTACAAAACAGTTAACATTTTGCAAGCAGGGTAATTTACAATCGTATCTTATATTGCACATTTAATTATATCATAATGAAATCAGCAAATAAACTTACTTAATGATGTTGATGATGAAACGCTTGCGGCAGCTGATTGCATATCAGCGCCTACATTCGAAGACCACAAAGAGTTTGTAGTAGTTGTGGTGCTGGTTTGTGTCGGTTTAGCAAACTGTGGTTTATGTAAAGCGCCTTGATGGTGTGGACCAGAAGGACGTATAACCAAAGTACCAGCGCCATGTGGACGTTCAATTGTAGTCATGCCACTGAAAGAAACATTAGTGAGTTAAAAAGAGTTTTAAAGATCTGAGTGCAAACAATTTTGCATCGTTGATTTGCTGTTTCATTACAAAATTCAATCACGAAATGTTATATTAAAATAACATTTAATATTTCTGAAACACAATATTTCATATATATTTTTATTATAATCATACTACTTGAAAATACTTTGCTAAATATAATAACAGCTCACGATCAAGCAAAAATGGTGTTCTGTAAATATCATCAGTTCCTTTTTTAATACTATTTATTAAATATTTAAATGTACTATTTATTAAATTTATATTACATTTCATTACATTACATTCAAATAACTATTGTGCAAACTGTCATCATAAAATATATTGAATTAAGAGTAGTTCGTGAACAAGTGCAATTAGTTTTCCATCATTGCTTCATAGTGTACTCAAAGAACAAATTGTGATGTTCCTTGCAACGATGCAATAATATATCACCATCATATACGAACTACTATAACTCGAACTTCTATAACTCGAATTTTTTATAACTTGAACTAAATAGAGTGAAACATGGTTTAGAATCATATAACATACAATTACAAAAAAATTCTTTAACTCGAAGTATCCACAAGTCAAACCTTTTCTTTGCAAAATGGTACTTCGAGTTATGGAAGTGTGACTGTGTCTAACTTAATACATCATATTTCTTGTACTACTTACCTAATACTTGGTTTATGCGGAAAAGGCGGTGGTCTTGGCTTATGATTAAGACTGCTAATGCCAACCGGCTTTGTGGGACGTGTGTACGAAAACACTTGCGGTAGTACAATATTGTCCGTATAATTGTGTGCACAACATGAACCGAACATAAAAGAATCTACACACATGCCTACATGACGTCCTTCAGATTTGATGCACTCCCACACAAACATACATGTGCCCTCGATTCGTCCGATTGAGCACGGTTTGGGACTTATTTTAAAGTTTTGACTACGGTGTAACTGATTTGCTGGTTGATAATCATCGTCTATGCTATCTTGTGTTAACTGCTCTAAACTATTATAACCAAACGCTGTGTGTATATTATTTCCGCCTCCTCTATCATCATTACTGTGCGCATAACGACTGCTGCGATATTGACTACTGTAATAACGTGCGGCGTCATTATTGTATGTGCCACCAAAGGCCGCTGTTGCAATTTGAATATGCGCCACTGCATGTAAAGCACAATTAGCTAATAACAACGTAACTAATACTTCTATTATTTGGTTTAAGCTGCAGAGTTGGACTCGGGTTGATCTATAATTTGACGCACAGACTCCAGACGTTATCGTCGCTTCGTCATTTGTTTTCCGTTTTAGTTTTCTTCTTGACTTGACTTGGCAATATTTTTGCAAATTGCATTCTAATAGATTTGTTTGCTCTATTTTTTTTAAATTGTGTTTCGATCCATTATTTACACCCTGCTTGTCCCTGACTAGCCAAGTTTGACTTTTCGACCGACTATTACACATGATGAGTATGTGTTGAATGCTTAAACAAAAAATCATAAATTACTATAAGGTTGATTTATATGATGTTATATGTATATATAGAACTAAATTATATTAGGTAAATTAATAAAAAAATTGTTTGTTTGTCATTTTAATATTTTATGCCTGGTTTGATTTGTTTGTATTTCTTCCTAATGTATAAAAAACGTGTTTTATGCCTTCAATAAAGCAATTACTATTCCGTGTTATTAGAAAGTTGTGAAAGAAAACCGATTCTATATGGCTAAGAAAGACCATAGTGATCAGTGTAGCAATAAAGTATTTATATATAAACGGGATAATAACTACAGAAATTAAAGCAAAATTGAATACTGTTTATAGAATAATATCTGTACCAGCATTTATGACTAGTTTGAATATGTATTTCGACCGCGGCATCGAATTGAGATTACTACGCTAGAAATGATTAATAAAGCAATGAAAATATTTCAACTAATCGACAAATCAGATTGCGTAAAGTTTGTAAGATGATAAGCAAATTGTGTATTTGTGAGTTATTAGCAATATGGGTGTAGGTTTTGGTCATTGGGTACCTAATAATAATTTCTAAACAATGTCTGAAAATGTTTCAAGATAGTACAGTTGAATTTCTACACCAACTATTTTGTACTTTAAATCTATCACTATACACCAGAGACAAATGAAATGCCAACGCGGTAAACCGAACGAAACCGGAGACAATTATATATATATGCTCCTTTAACTCCTACGAGAAGCATAGGGTAGCATAAGACAGTTATTGTTAAATTATTTCGAAAAGTGATGGATACACATAATTTAATATATAAATACTTCATTAAAGCTATTACTATGCCGTATTATTAGAAAGTTCTAAAAACTAACCACTGCAAATAGTCAAGAAACAAATAGTGTTCCATCGAAGCAATGTATAAGCTCACAAGTAGCTGCGATTACTTACTTACTTTTCTTAAAATCGGTTATGATTTTCTTCTTCATCAACCTTATTTCATTTTAATAATTTACCTTCTAGCAACGAACTCTTGTTCGAAACTTAAGGTATTGGTTTCTAATAAAGAAATATGTCTATAAAACTCTAACAAATATGTTTTTTAATTTTTTCGAAAAACTAAATGGTTCGAAATGAAAAAACTTTAGAAGCATTAGAGAATAATACATAGTAAATATTGAAATAATATGAGATTATAATGAAAAAATGCTTGTTTTTAAGCATTTTAAGTCATATATAAAATTGATATGAAAGCTTCTCTTATAATAAATTTTTGGCTGTAGTCCTGTATCAGCATCTAATTATTAGGCATGCATCTGACTAGTCTCTTCTTTATGACCGTACATAAAATTTTAAATTAATTTCATGAAATTTTTTTTACATATTTAGATTGTAATATAGTTCAGAAATGTATAAATCAAAAAAGCATATTGTTTTGCTAACTTTCAATCCGAAGTGTGTGATTAATTTGTTAGCAGCATTAGTCATGAAGTAGCAATTGATAAATTTAAGCAGTTAAAGTAATTTTCCTAAAAATGTTGAGTGTTAAATGTATTCGTTATAATATTGTAACCCTTCACATACCGGGGGACAAAAGGCTGAACACATTTTGAAGCCTTACTTTCACAAGCACACAATAATAGCATTGCATTCCATTTCTTTTCGTACAAATATGTAATTTAACTATATTTTCACCACCTTCTCTGACTAGTTTCTTTATGAGAAATGCTCTTCCATTTCAATACCACTTTATGACCAGCAGTTCCATCATTATTAATGATGATACATGCGAATGAATTCATACTTACGTGTTTGTACATAACAAACCAAATATTGAGGCACTCGACTGATTCGCAAAGGTAGTCATTGTCGTGTTTGTTGTATTAAATCAAAATATAAGATACAAACCAAAAAAAAATAAATAAAAATTTATTTAAAAATTTTAAAATCAGAAATTGTCGCTGTTGCTGCTGCTATTTTCAAACCAGCAACTTGCAACTTACACTGTCTCGTTGTCATGTTGCAATTATGTATGTTGCAAACTGAATTAAGTGCATTTTAAGTTGTTATTGTTGTTATTGCTTGCTGTCTGCTGTGTTTGCTGCGTCTGGTGTTGTTGTTGTTGATATTGTTGCAAATAAAATTTAAGTCGAAAAAATCGTTGTTACTCAAACAAAGTCACTGACTGGTTTAATTGCAGCTTTTCACTTTTGTTTCATAAATCAGCAACGACAAAGCAGGCACTTTACCAGCAATACCAGCAACAATAGTAACAATATTTAACGATTGAGATCGCACGAATATTTTTCAACTGCTAATGCTCCTATAATAATAACAATAACAATTGCAATAATATTACAAACAAATACAAAATCACAAAATCCCTGTTTATTATTCTCTGCAATTAAAAAGCTTAAATATATAATAGATATTTTTCCACCGTAACCATTATATGTGGTGCTCGAAGTTGAAGCTCTAACTGAATAATTTCTTGCTAACTTTTTATTTTTATTTGATACAATAACAATATCACTACCATCAAATGCTTATAATTTATAATTTTCAGAAGCAAGTCATAGTTTTGACTTCTGCCAAACTGATTGTTAAATCATTTAATTGTTGTTTTAATTTGTTTTCTACATATTAACGTAAAATTGTTGTTATAATTGCCTGTCATTGAGCAACAAATTGTTGCAAATAAACAGCGAAAAAAAACAACTTACCTTTAATTAAAATGTTCACTGTTCTATCAAACCAGTCGTTTCGGTGTGCATCGTCTCTGTAAGAACAGAAAATAATCTTTAAATTTTGAGAGCAATTAATTTAGATTTGTTACACATAATAAAATGAAGATTTTGAATCAACGGAATTTTTACTTTCTATTACTTTCTATTACTTTTAAGTTAACATATTTTAAACACTCTAAAATTAAATATATAAAATTGATTATACAACAACTACAACTTTTATAAAGATGAAAATATTAAATTAGATAAATACAAAACTACCTAGACGCTTTTATTACTATCTTTTAAGTATGGTTTATGCCAATGTTAGCTCATCTTTTTGTAAAGTTGAAAGTGTTTTATTATCTCATATTTTCGCCAAACAATTCGTTATTATAATTCTATTAAAGCATACATACTTAAAATAAAATACAATTTTAACCAAAACAATGTGACCAGTGGAACAGAGTACTTTGTATGCCCAAAACACACAGTCAGCCTTTCGAATGAAGATGAGTTAACCCTGTTCACACATCTTTTTAAGATTATGCTTCAGGGAAAAATACCATTGCATATAACTTATCAGCAATCTTAGCTTTACTTTATAGTGGACATATACTTACTTATCCATCAGTAATACTTTTAATATATCAATAGTATAATATATTTTTCAAAAGCTAGTTTATGTAAAGAATGTTGAAATAATGACAATTAACCTATAAGAAACAGTGGTTCTGTGCTACATATTTTTGTAGATCAAATATAAGTTTCTTTATATTAATAATATTTTTAATATTAATATTTTAATATTATATATATTAATATTATATATATTAATATTATATATATATATATACTTATTAATATATTTTAATATTATATGTATGTCTTTCAAAAGATCCTTGGGAAATAGCAACGATGTACTAAGAAATAAGCGGCCAGTAACGAAAGTTCTGCTCTATTAAGATCTACTAAGATATGCTCTGCCATATCTTTGTATTGCCAATAGATACGGATTTATCTAATGGCAATATGGTATTTTAATATTATAAAAATTATATGAAAATACTCGTAAAAAAAAAATAAATAAAATACATAAATACAATTAATATATTTTTCAAAAATTAAATATTATAATTTTAACTAAGTATAAATTTGGATAAGACTATGTATAGTGTATAATTTAATATGGTATCAATTAGTTTTTAAAAATTCACCTATCATGCCCAGATATAAATTTTAATATTTTCTAAAGAAACATATAAAATATATGTATGTTTATATAATTATAATAAATTTATAATTTGAAATTATCATGTTCACCTATATAAAATTTCACAATATTTTCTGCTATTAAAATAGTTTAATTGTAAAACCTCCAGTGAGAAACTTTACTAGCAATATTTTGTGCAGTTTCTATCGATATTAAAGTTCATTTCATTTAATTCAAAAATCGATTAACTATTTATGAGGTTCCACTCTACTCATTTTACTTAACTCTAATCAAGTAACTAATTCGAATATAAGCAAATCCATAATGCTGTTCTTTAAATTTTGTTAATCAGCTTTAAAAATTCTAATTATGGTCATTAGCGAATCTACAGTTGGCAAAAAAACCAATTCGCAGTTATTAACGATTTCCCCAAAAGTGTGTATTTTTTTTATTGAAAGGTATTTCATTTTATATTCTTTCAAGATATTTAACTTAAACGGTAATTATAGTTTATTTTGCATAAATATATACACGTTTTTTTTCTACCTACATGCAAAAAAAATATAACAGTTGCTTGTGGCTAACATAAAGAGCAATAATTAAGCCATTAAAGGTAAATAAGATAAATGATTGAAATTGATTAGCAATCTTAATAACGCCTATTAAATATTTACTTACTTTATGTAAGGCAACAGAATACATAATTGCTACCTCATAGGGCACATACAATGATGGGGCATTTCTAAAGATTAATTAAAAGTTCAACCTTATAAATTGTCTTAATTGTATAGTTAGTTCATATATGTAATTCTTATTGAAAGATGTGGATGCAGATATAACAGGTTTTAATTAATAACTAAAGTTCTTTTTAATCAGGAGAGTGTGGCTATTATTTGAAGGAATTGATTAATATGAACCCCGATATATCGTACAAATGAGCTTTAACTTAAGAAGGTGATTTCTGGATCTTATACAAAAAAAATTATATGGAGAAAGGTCATTTGCAATTTTTTCAAAAAAGCAGTTAAGGAAAACTTCATTCAAGAAAGTTAAAAAACTCTTTATACCTACATCTATATTGAAAATAAACCATCTCGTGAAATTTTTTTTTATTTGTTTGATCAAGAAATCAGTTGATATACATTGATATGAAACAGTTAGTATATTAAAATATATATAGGTATATTGATATTCATTTGGTTATATATTAAAAAGAGCAAAATTAAATTGAAATGTTTAAAAAAATATGGAGAACGTTTATAATATCATTGTTTAATTGTTATCCACCAAAGAATTAACTGCTAGAAAAATATGTTGTCAGCCAATATAATTAACCTGTTTAAATTAGGCACTAAAAGCAATTGTATTTACATTAGGATGAAAGGTTGAATGTAGTGACTAATTTCAATTTTCTCGTTATGGTATCGCAACAGACCTGACATATGTATGCTCATCGCAAGCCATTCTATTCTAATCTTAACCGTAATCTTAGAGACCTATTTCATTTTTAATTTTAATTATTTATAGAAAATGCTCCATAGAATCTAGCAAATGTATTTCAATTTTGTACAAACCAATAAAATTTCAATATGCATTTTTCCTACTCATGGTTGAACACTTATGAACATGAAAGTAGTTATAAGAATGAACATTCACTTATATATCTAACCAGGAAAGCAATCTTACATTTCATGATTACATTTGATGATTAAAAAAAATTTCTTTACAAAAAATTGTAAATCAATTAGATATTTGAGATTTTTCTCATACCATTTTTTTGATGAGTAGTTTAAAAAGTCCAAAGGTTAAAAATTATTTAAACTTAACTAGATTTATCATCCATAATCTATTAAATAAAAAAATTTATTATATTACCGTATAGAATGAATTTAGTACTGACATTAATTTAAGAATAAGGGATTAAATGTTTTTTGGTTAAATTCCAAATAAGTCGCAGTTGTTTTATTTACTTGTAGATTCATACACATAAACTTGTAAATATATTTTATCTTTTAAATACATGCCACATCAATTCGATTTCTTTGATGTCGATCAAGTTTAAAGTCATTTTAAAATTTCTCTTAAAATTCATACTAATGCTTTGCTTTAAGTAAACCCAAACTGTCGGTCACTAATGTCAATTAATATAAATCTTATTCATGGACCGTATATTTTATTTCATTTTTCAACTCGAATCAATTTTTTTTATTACTACGTTGATTGCACAAACGTAGTAACAACAACAATTACATTAGTAACACAATTAGCCCCAAATGCATTTGATCAGTATCAACTGCAATTGAAATTGGGGTTTTTGCCATTTGGCCTAATATCGATATGTACATACACAACTATTGCCATCGCCATCGCCATCGCAATCGCAATCGACAGTCGACCACATTTAGACGTTATCGGCAATTCAGCCAAATCGAATTTTATGTACCATGCATTTTAGTCGTACCTAGTGTGGCTGGCATTTGGGGCATTTCATTTGTGAGTTTATTTATTTTTTATTTTAATTTATTTCATATTTTATCGTGTTTTGTATGTGGAATTGATTGTTATCGTTTAGCAATCAAATCAAATTTTATGTGTTTGGTGTTGCCTCTCTTACCTTTCGCAATAATTCGCATAAATACTTGCCAAAGTATCGAAAGCATCTTAGTCAAGAAAATAGGTCAAGCCATGGCTAAAAGTGATTTTTAGTACGAGAATTGTAACGCCTTTTTATGGTAATCTCTAAATTCTTAGACTGTGGTGTTCGGTAAAACGCACGTTGTCATATATATAAATGTGGTGCTCAAAAACGATTGCGGTGTTTTACTAAAGGCACGTAATTTAGTTATTAGTTGACTATGCATATGTGTTCAAATAGTTGAGAAATAAGAAAAAGTAAAAAATTAAACCTTTAATCTGTAAAAAAAGTTCAAAAGTCTTCATATACAGATCATAGCGCACATATCAGAAAACTATAAAAAATATTAAATAAAGTACTTGTCTCATATACTCTCAAAGAATAACTACTTTCTTAACTACTACTTCTATGATTTTCTATATATTGGTGTATATAAAACTTATGATTCTAATTATACAAAATTGGGATTGCTTAAAACTTTCGCACTGCTATCTATAAATTCTGCGTGGAAACCTTAAAAAATTATTTAATAAAACTCAAAAAATAACACATTATGCAAAATTCATTTTGTATTCTTTAAAGTACGTTCAAAAAAATAATTTGGTTGATTTACTAAATCTCAAGTCAAAATATTCTACTCGACGCATCACCATATGAGCTAACAAAATCATCAGGTCAATTTAACTAGTATGTGGTAAGAGCATATTTTTCTAAGTGTAGGGCTCTTAAAGCGGAATTCTGTACCATTAAGCCATTGCTTGACCCAATCGTCCATACATTTATGGAGGAATTGAAGTATGGTTTTAAACACGTTTAGCATAATTTCTTTTATGGCCGTAATGGAATCAAAACGCCTTAATCTAAATGGTAACTTTAGTTTTATGTATAGAAAAAAGTTACATGTCAAATCAAATTTAATTAATAGAATATTTTTCGACAATGAAAATACTTTTATGTGAAATGTGAAAACCATTCGATACTTGATAGATTATACAAATCAACCAATATTAATATTAGATCCTTTATCGTGCGATATTCTTCACGTTAATAGAGCACAAAAGCACTCTTGGTTGGTCGATAGTAAATTTGTTTTACCTACTAAGCCTAAAGTAGGCAATGGCCATTCTTCGCCTACCAGCAACCAACTGTAAAGCAATAAAAGCAACCGTTTAAAGGAAGTATGCTGTAGCCAATTGCAGATATATA